GACACTTCCAAGTGTCACGGCGAGTCGCGCCCATACTCAAACACACTAAAATCGATACGGCTAGATCCGTGAACCGAGCCATGTGGGAGACGATTGGCGTGCCTAGAGCCATACGGCTTCTTGGGGCGCCCACGTTGGTCTCACATGCCAAGACATACCCGTTGGCCAATCCAGCACGTCGTATTCCAAAAGTATGACGCGGTGAGTTGGCCCACATCAAAAGTATCATATGGACAATGGGGCGGGGTCCTGATCACTCAGGACCTGTCCGATTGTTCAACTTTTCAATTACCCTAAAAGGCAACCGATCTTAGATAGCGTAGCTACTATGCAGTTGTACAGGACTTTACTAAGCAGCGTCGTAGACAGTATAAGTAGCACGTCGTCTCTTTGTATTAGGAAGCTTTCCCCCGGACTGTGAATCACTCTCATTTCAGATTGTTTTGTACAATTTGCGTGCCGCGTGATTCCACCCTAAGAAGTTCTGCTACCCCTGCCCGGTCGCGACGAGTTGCTCCCTGAGCACTTGTAGCTACTGCGATTTGAGTTTGAGTTGAGATATCAGAAAGTCGGATTCGCCGCATCTGGTATTGTCGCGGCATTTAGTGTTGTTGCCTTAGGGCTTTGTTGAGATCGTTCCACACCTCTAGCTTGGCAGTGCGTCGACTAGTTGTGCTCGGGTTGTTTTGATCAGTTGGCAGTGCGTCGACTTGAGAACTTTGGTTCCACACTTCTTGCTTGGCAGTGCGTCGACAAGTTGTGCTCGGGTTTTGGACATTGGATATTGGCTGTTAGTTGGCAGTGCGTCGACGCGGCATTTTGGTTTACTAGTTGGCAGTGCGTCGACTCAGTACTTTTGGTTGTGTCAGTTGGCAGTGCGTCGACTTGACATTTTGGTTCTACTAGTTGGCAGTGCGTCGACTCAGTATATTGGTTGTATCAGTTGGCAGTGCGTCGACTTGATATTTGGGCTTTGCGTCACCATCTAGACGCTGTCGCCACAAGGGACCTTAATACTTCGTATTAAGCTCTGACTTGTTATATTGTTGTTGTGGATTGGATTAGTGTTGGTTGTGATCGTATAGAAGATATTGGTTGAGATACCATTGTTTGCTATATATATATATATTCTTGTCGTCGACTCCGTCTCCGCGACTATTGGATCTGCGTCTATTGAGAGTTGTGATACTGGTGCTCTGTCCACCCCGGAGCCCTCGCATCTTTCACACACTGAGAAGCTGATTACGAGGAGTGTGAACGTGTTTATATTCGGGTTTACTTTCATAGTAGATTCACTTGTGAGCACGCCCTCAGCATTTCACCGTCCAAGATTATCGGAAGCTGAATGGGATGACAATCCGAAATTGATATCCGTTACCGCTGATCTTTGAATTAGTCCACAATCTGTGTGGTGCCAAGTTCTTCACAAAGTTAGACATCTGATGGGGGTATAACAATGTCCGGATCAAGGAGGGCAATGAATCGAAGGCTGCATTCTGCACAAACTGGGGCCTATACGAACCCTTAGTCATGTTCTTCGGTCTCACCAATTCGCCAGCAACGTTCCAGAACATGATGAATGACATACTGTGGGAACTAATCAATGAGGGCCACGTGGTAGTTTACCTGGATGACATACTGATCTTCACAGAAAACCTGGCTGAACATTGGCGAATCACAAAACAAGTACTCAAATTGCTCCAAAAACACAAGCTATACCTGAAACCCAAAAAGTGCGAGTTCGAACGCACGGAAATCGAATATTTGGGTGTAATTATTGGACACAATTCGATGCGAATGGACCCTGTCAAGATCAAAGGAGTGATGGAATGGCCAGAACCGGGGAGCGTTAAACAAGTCCAAGTGTTCCTGGGCTTCGCCAACTTCTATCGGTGTTTTGTTTGGGGATACGCGGAGGTTGCCAAGCCGTTGACACGGCTGACGGGGAAGGCAGGATGGTCATGGGGTCTGGATGAACATGCGGCGTTTGATGGGTTGAAGAAGAGAATTGCAGAGGATGCGGTCTTATCACTGCCAAATGACACCGGCCAATATTGTCTGGAAGCCGATGCTTCAGAAAGGGCAACAGGATCAGTTTTGAGCCAAAACCAAGATGGCATTTGGCGCCCAATCGCATTTATTTCGCACGCATTGACCAAAACCAAGCGAAATTACGAGACCTACAACAAGGAAATGCTCGCAATCATGCTATCATTGGACAAATGGAGGCAGTTACTCCTGGGGGCCACCAAAACATTTGAGATTTTCACCGATCATCAAAATCTCGAGTACTTCAGGAAACCGCAGAAGCTCAACCAACAGCAAGCACAATGGATCACAGAGCTGGCGGAGTTTGATTTCACCTTACGACACCGGCCCGGCGCACTCAACCGCAAGGCGGACCTCTTATCTCAACGAGCGGATCACAATCAGGGCAAGAACAACAACAAGGACGTGACGCTACTAAAGCCGGAGTTCTTCCGATCACAAGAAGTCACATTTGAGGGACAGGATCAACAGCTAATCAATGAGATCAAGGCCACAAGCATCAAGGCGGCCTTGGAGAAGTCACTCATCAGATGGAAAAAGGAAGATGGACTCATCACGTATCATGGGAAGCTCTATGTACCAAGAGACAAGGACTTACGGGACAAGATCATTGGGCTACACCACGACACGCCCCTAGTTGGACATGCCGGGATCAACCGAACACAGGAAATGGTGGAAAGGAACTACTGGTTGCCTAGGATGGGAAACCAAATTCAGGAATACATCCAGACGTGCCAGGCGTGCCAACGGACCAAGACCAGGAGAGCAAGGACAGGGACTCTGCACCCGCATTCAGTCCCAAATGCGCCGTGGGAAATCATCTCAATGGATCAAATTGGACCCTTACCGGTCAGTAATGGGTATGACGCAATTCACGTGTGGTGTGACACCTTCACAAAAATGATCCATGTCAAACCAATTAGTACTGACATCAGCAGTGAAGGAGTAGCGCGGTTGACCAGAGACCAAGTCTTCCGCTACCATGGGATCCCTTGCAAGATCATCACCGACAGGGATTCGTGTTACATCAAGGGCTTCATGAGGGAAACAAATCAGATGTTGGGTGTGGAAATGAATCCGGGGACTGCTTATCACCCAATCACCGATGGGCAAACAGAGCGCATGAATCAGGAGATCGAACATTATCTCTGCATCTACGTCAATTACCATCAGACAGACTGGTCGGAGTGGCTGGGAATGGCGGAGTTTGCATATAACAACAAAATGAACACGTCCACCAAAATATCACCGTTCTACGCAAATCACGGATATCACCCATGGAAGGGAGTGGAGCAGCAGATGGAATCGAGGAACGACTCGGCAGAGGAATTTGTAAAAAGAATCAAAGAAATATCTTCTTCAGTTGAGCCTTTGCTGGCCAGACATTCCATCAAATAAAATACTGTGTTGCACAACAGTAGTGTGATTGGGTGTGGGAGCTGAGCCCAGGGCGCAGAGCCGGCGGGGTGCGGATGACCCCAAAATGTGCTGCCCAGCCAGAACAATGCCGGCTCACCCAAAGAAAGCAGCACAACTTGTGTGTCAGTAAAATATGCACGATATGCACGCCGGAAAATGTCTAGGTTATGCCCAGTACACAATATGCGGATGCGCAGGCTATGTACTGTCAAAAATGCACGAAATGCAATCGAATTATGCATGATATGCACGCCGGAAAATGTGCAGGCTATGCACGGCGCACGATATGCGTGGGTGCAGGCTATGCACGCCAGAAAATGTGCAGGATGTGCACAGTGCACAATATGCGTGGGTGCAGGCAACGAGTAGGTGTAGGTGCATACTATCCACTGCCAAAAAAAGCACAATATGCACAGTAGAAAATACACAGGATATGCGCAAGTGCAGGCTATGCACTGTCAAAAGCACAATATGCACAGGAGAAAAACAGTGCAAAATATGCGCAAGTGCAGGCTATTGAAAAGCACAATATGCACCACAGGAAATATGCAGGATATGCGCAGGTGTAGGCTATGCACCATCAAAAATGCACAATATACCCACTGAAAATACGCAGAATATTGCCCAGTAGAAAAGACGCAGAATATGCGCAAGTGCAGGCTTATTCCTGAATTTGGTTTCCCATCCTAGGCCACCAGTAGTTCCTTTCCACCATTTCCTGCGTTCGGTTGATCCCGGCATGTCCAACTAGGGGCGTGTCGTGGTGTAGCCCAATGATCTTGTCCCGTAAGTCCTTGTCTCTTGGTACATAGAGCTTCCCATGATACGTGATGAGTCCATCTTCCTTTTTCCATCTGATGAGTGACTTCTCCAAGGCCGCCTTGAGCGCAGGATATGTGCAGCACACAAATGGGGCATGTGCAAGCATGCACCATCAAAAACCACAATATTCACGCCAGAAATACGCAGGATATGCGCAGGAGTAGGCTATGCACCATCAAAAATGCGTGATATGCACAGTGGAACACACGCAAAATATGCGCAGCGCACAATGGGCGCAGGTGCAGGGGATTCACCCTCAAAATGCACAATATGCCCAGGAGAAAATACGCAGAATATGCGCAAGTGCAGGCTGTGCATAGTCGAAAAATGCACAATATGCATGCCAGTTGTCACCTCCGGGCTCTCTGATCAAGTGCATACGCGTAGAGCCAACATCACCATCACCTCCTCCTCCATCTTCTCCTCCAACTCTTCCGCTGACAGAGCCCATCGGCATCACTGCGGCAGACAGCAATCGGGGGAAGTATCCGTTCCTGCAGCCCAAGGCTCATGATCGCCCGAGCAAATATCTCTGGAGCATATGCCCCGCCTGTTTGGGCGGCAAGTGGGAGAACACAAAGATGGTGCTGGCTTGCATCTGCTGTGGGGATACATGTTTCACTCACAAACACGACAAAGACTACGGTGGTTGCGACACGCCTTGGCATCATCCAGATACATTGTTTGTGTCTGACAACACCACTGCAACAATGGCGGATTGGGTTGAGGGGATCCGTCCGTCTCAAGCATTGAAATCAAATAAGCCAAAGCCGCAGGGGGCAGAAACAAGGGAGCCAGAGCTGGAGGACAACAGTTTCGAGTCCGCCAAGATTCTGTTACCAACTTCTGCTCTGAATCAGTGTGAGAACTTGTTTGCTGCCGCCGATGAGATGCGAGCTAAAGCAAGCTCAATGTTCTTTGATGACAAGGGACTGATGGGTCTCTCTTGTTGTCACGACAACCTGCTGTTCTTCACAAACATCAAGACACCAGGAGAGCAACAATTCTACATGTTCGCTCTGCTTGAGACACTCTTTCAGCATCTGCCTGTCCACTTTTTGGTCGGATTCCTCTATGACATTGCCTGTCAGCTGCAACGTTCAGCGGAGAAGTATGGTTTTTTGCCCCCGGATACATGGCTCGACTGCAATGGGCTGTGTCTGTGCTGCACTCGTACGGTCATGGAGCAGCTTGTCAGGCGGTATATCATCCTTGCTGGCGGACGCTGTTTGGTTACGCAGATGGGGAAAGCTTGGAGCGCTTGTGGCAATCTTTGAGCCATCTTGTCTCCTTTCTTCGAGTTTGTGGGGTACGTCATCCATCTTATCTTATCTAATCTCATCTCATCATTTTATCTCATCGCTGACGTGTCCAGTACCACAAGCGGCGATACGTCCTTGACTACACAAATCATACACCTACACAAGAGCAACATCGCAAAGCTCAGTAAATAGCTGGAACAACGGTGGAAGGATTGCCAAGACCATTGGGTTCACGGAATGGCTGGCTTGGTCACCTGCAAGCAGCCCGTTGCCATTCTTCGCTCAGAGCATAAGAACCAGGTCGTGGCTCTCTCTAAACTGATGTCTCATACGTCCAACATGCTTTGATGTTGATCCTCAGACAAACTTCCGACAGGTCAGTCCAAGAACACAGCCAAGCTGGCAGTCAAAGATGCCCTACGAACCAGTCAAGCCGTCGCCCAATTGTGGTTCCAAATGAGGACGCTGAACGACACCATTGGCAACATAGATGTGGACCCGGTGGACCTGACATTTGTGGAGGAGGAGCTTCCCCAAGTGATGAAGCAGTATGAGAAGGCGGTAGTTGCGATGCACAAGAAGATGAGTCAGCTGGGTGCAAACAGGGTGCAAACAACAAGCAGCAGCTGAAGAAGCTCAAGAACAACTGATACGTGCAGTTGTGGATGAACGCGTATGCAATCTCGATCCAATTGCAGACAAAGCTGCAGCAGCGGAAGTTCGAGCTTGAGCGGGTCAAGCAGCACTTCCACCACAACAAAGCGGGTATGCAATGTTCTGGTTGCTGCGAAAGGCGCGTCTGACAATTTGCAGATGCAAAGCAGACTACGCACATTCAGGATGCCATGAATCATTGGGATTCACACATCAAAGATCTCCAACACTCATCCAACAAGAAGTGCGATCAAATGAAGGAGCTCATCAATGCGAATAAATCTCCTCAATAGGCTATTACTCCGAAACAAATTGAAGACAAGGGCATCTGGGGTCTTGATGTAGACGCAGACATCTGGCTGGCCATTGGTCTGACCAACGACAATGAACTAGGGTCCGGTAGATATACTGGTGCACCAAATGGCGCTCCTGGAGCCCTCAAACAAGACCCAAAATGCATTTCTTTTCTGGCCCTCTGCGCCGGATGGGTGTCCCCAACAGCCAAAATGGGAGTTCGGTTCGTCTGGACTGGTCGCCGGTTTCGACGAACTGTAGGGCTCGGTAGATCCGTCGTTGTTTTTGGTGTTACGCGGCAAGTCGTCTGCACGACGTGGCTGCATAGCCATTGCACAACGTGTCTTTAAATTGGGATTGCGCATGGTGATTATCTGGCTGCCGTCGGCCGCGTTCTTGATATTGCTTTCAGTCGCGATATCAAACGGTCTGCCGAGCAACACCTTATAAGCTGGACTTTCCAAAATGTGCACCTGTAGGTAGACCAAGATGGTCCCAAACCTGAAGGGTACATTTCTCACTAATCCCAGTGACTTAGAGATAGATCCATTTGCGCTTTCCATATAGATGACGACTTTTGGGTCCCAGCTCAATTGTGCGTCGACGGCCTCTGAGAAAGCCATCGATACAATCTGAGATCCACTGTCTAGGATGCAGTCCGCGTCGAGACGCGCGTTAATCCGTCCGTTTATCGTTCTGAGAGCAGCCGACGAATCACCAACATAGACATGTCTTGGGTTCTCATTAGAGGGTATCGACTCCAAGTACATCTCATATGGATCCGTCGCGACAACTGCGCCAATGGGAATTTCTCCTTCTACTGTGTTATGATAGAACACAGGTTCGGGCAATTCCTTAGCACTGACTAGGTTGTAGCTCAGTTCTCCATCCCAAACGTCTTCAACGACGCGACCAGTTTCTTGAAGCATGGACTTCTGAACCGGTACTCGTTTCTTCGAAGAGTCCTTCAGAATGGAGTCGCGGACAGTCCCCGAAACTGCTAGGAGTTCACCCACAGTGACGTCGACTGACGCGTTTTTCATTTTGTCGTAGACTGCTTCTGCTACAGCCTTCTTTTGAATCGGTGCACGCAACTGGTATTTATCTGGAACGCGCGCTTTTGAAGAATGTACTGGTTCTTGTAGAACGGGCTTGACTTTCTCAAACGGTAGTTCCTTTCTCTTTTCGACGTTGTCGCGCACTGATTCCTCATCATCGTCGCTATCACTAACTTCTTCAATAGTCACAGGTTTTCTTGGTTTCTCTCGTCGCTCAGCTCGTTTATCATGGTCCTCAGAGGGCTTGGCTGAGTTTGTGGGTTTAGCCCCCTTCCTTGAACCATTTAGAAACCCGAGTTGTTATCGTCGCGCTCAGGTTGGCTATTCGCACCACGACGGGTTTGAATGAACTGCTCCTGAGTCTGAGGATAACCACTGTTCATGTTGTTGAAGTAGCCGGCCATGGCGTCGGTCATGGCTTTCTGCATGAATTGGCCCATGGCACTTTCTATTGCATTACTGGTAGAACCAGATGCAGCTCTTTGAGTCTTTGGCTCAGCGCGACTCTCTGGGGTTGGTCGCGACGATTTCCTCTCGTATTGGATGAGTTGACTTCGAAGGGAGCGTATCTCATCTGCCACTTCTTCAGGGTAGTCGGACATATCATCATTGTTGCAGCTATCGAACTGATCCAAGTAGTAGGAGTCTTGGAAGTTGACGGACTTGCCCTTCTTCTTCCAGTAAGCCTCTACTCGTTGCCCCTGAGTCCCTTCTCCATTTGGTAAGAAGCTGTCGTCGAAGAGCCTCCACATCCCTTTGGTGTCGACTTTGAGAAGGTTTTTCTCAATGTGAGACCTCTTGAGTGGGCACTCGTTCGACCAGTGACCAGTTTGTCCACAGTAGCGACAGTCGTCGTTCCGTGCGGCAGCTCCTCCTTGTGCGCGACTTTCAAAGTGGGGCACAGAAGAGTTGTTGCCTACTGGCCGCGACCGCTGTATGGGCGCCTCGCGAGCAGTCTGTACGAACGTCTTCAACGCTTCCTGCAACTGAGTCTGTAGCTCTTTTTGGTGTAGAAGAAATGAGTCCTTCAAGTTAGAAATCGAGTTTTCCAACTCCTCAACCTTAGCATGGTTGGGTGGACTAGTCTCATAGTCGAAGCGAACCTTGGGAGGTCGCGCGGTTATGGGAATTTCGTCTTCGTTACTCAACGTCGACGCCATTTCTTCCGCCATCGTCATTAATTCTTTCAGCTGGATGGGGTCGTCCTGCCGATTGACTCCAGTTGCGGGGACATTAGCGTTTGCTATCCCGGCGCGAGTTTGGTAGCGCTTGTTGAATACTTGACTCGTAGCCAAAGCATTTCGCAAGACGGTACTGAACTCAGAGTCCAAAGTACGCATGTAGCGTTCACACACGACTTTGTTGGTAATAATGGCAGGAGGGACTGACAGTCGCTTGTAGTGACTGTACATTTGAAGGCCGAAGCGCTTCAAATCACCCTCATCCGTAATTTTGATTCCACGGTTCTCGCGACAGAGTCTGTCTAGATCTGCCATGGTCCCCGTTTTTCGCTTGGACACCTCAGGGTATCCCTTTAAGATTTCGGCCTCGAACTCCGCGACAGTTTTTGTGTCGTCGGAATAGGTATCGAGACCTTCCCATACGTCCATCACTTGCCGCGACGGCAAATAACGAATGTACATGCTTTTGGCTTGTTTGACATCTGTGATGCCTCCATCCTCTACGATCTGCGCGCAGTGACGCAAATATGCCTCAATCGACAGGGGATCCTTTTCATCAAGTATAGGTCTACTTGTGTCCCAAGGTTGAGGGATTTTGAACCCAGTCTTTGGAGCCATAGTTGTCGCGACTGAAGTCACAGGGGAAGCAGGGATGTTGTGAGAATTCGTGTTTGTAGCGGTGACGCTACTAGACAATTCTGAGAGGGTTTGTGAGCTAGTCTGAGATCGACTGATTGTCGTCGAACTCAAAGTAGCTGCGTCTAAAGCTGGGAGCTTCGACGTCGAATTCACTCTTTGTTTTCCTTTTGCCTTGGAAGGCAAGGGTGGTAGATACAAAGGTGTTTTATGTCTTGCAGACCTTCGTGGTTTTTCGAAAGGTCCTGAAGTTGAAGCGTTTCCTTCAGTCTCAATCTCCGCTTGGTCCTCGAGAGGTCGCGCAGGAGCTTGGGATCGAAATAAACTGCTTCGCGGGATAAACCCTTGGTCTCTATCCGACGTCGCGGTAAAGAATCCGGTTTATTGATTTTTAAAGTTTATGAAACTTTAGAAGCCCCTCGCGGTGGGCTCCAGATGAAATGCTGAGGGCGTGCTCACAAGTGAATCTACTATGAAAGTAAACCCAAATATAAACACGTTCACACTCCTCGTAATCAGCTTCTCAGTGTGTGAAAGATGCGAGGGCTTTGGGGTGGACAGAGCACCAGTATCACAACTCTCAATAGACGCAGATCCAATAGTCGCGGAGACGAAGTCGACAACAAGAATTTATATATATATAGCAAAACAATGGTGTCTCAACCAATATCTTCTATACGAACACAACCAACACTAATCCAATCACAAACCAACAATATAACAAATCAGAACTTAATACGAAGTATTAAGATCCCTTGTAGCGACAGCGTCCAGATGGCGATGCAAAGTCCAAATATCAAGTCGACGCACTGCCAAATGATACGACCAATATACTGAGTCAACGCACTGCCAACTGACACAACCAAAAGTACTGAGTCGACGCACTGCCAACTAGTAAACCAAAATGCCGCGTCGACGCACTGCCAACTAACAGCCAATATCCAATGTCCAAAACCCGAGCACAACTTGTCGACGCACTGCCAAGCAAGAAGTGTGGAACCAAAGTTCTCAAGTCGACGCACTGCCAACTGACCAAAACAACCCGAGCACAACTAGTTGACGCACTGCCAAGCTAGAGGTGTGGAACAATCTCAACAAAGCCCGAAGGCGACGACACTAAATGCCGTGACTAAACCAGATGCGGCGAATCCGACTTTCTGATGTCTCAAAACTCAAACTCAAATCAGAGTAGCTACAAGTGCTCAGGGAGCAACTCGTCGCGACCGGGCAGGGGTAGCAGAACTTCTTAGGGTGGAATCACGCGGCACGCAAATTGTACGAAACAATCTGAAATGAGAGTGATTCACAGTCTGGGGGAAAGCTTTCTAATAAAAAGAAACGACGTGCTACTTATACTGTCTACGACAATGCTTAGTAAAGTCCTGTACAACTGCATAGTAGCTACGCTATCTAAGATTGGTCGCCTTTTAGGGTAATGAAAAAGTTGAACAATCGGACAGGTCCTGAGTGATCAGGACCCCGCCCCATAGTCCATATGATACTTTTGATGTGGGTCAACCCACCGCGTCATACTTTTGGAATACGACGTGTTGGATTGGCCAACGGGTATGTCTTGGCAAGTGAGACCAACGTGGGCGCCCCAAGAAGCCGTATGGCACTAGGCACGCCAGTCGTCCCTCACATGGTTTGGTTCACGGATCTAGCCGTGTCAATTTTAGTGTGTTTGGGTATGGGCGCAACTCGCCGTGACACTTGGAAGTGTCACCGCGACGCGTCCACAATGTCCCGTGATCGAATGGATCCTGACATGTGACAAGTCGTCGTCGTGGCATGATCTGGGGAAACGTCCAACCCAAAACCGGGAGTTGCCGCGACAAGATTGGTTCAATCTCGTAACGCCAAGTCCTGTCCAGTAGTAGTTGTATTATTAAGAACGTCGCACATTGCTCAGCCCTTCAGCCCAAGTTCCCATCTGCAGAGAATGACCCTTTTGAGGAGTCGCCGCAACAAAAGATCCCTTTTGGGAAATTGTCGCGGTCCAAGCGTTCGTCACTAATAGCCCTGAGCCTGGTATAGACTCATAAGACCAATTCCACAGTAGTGGTCTGACTGCCTTGCTATCGTCGACACTATCCACAGTCGTCAACTGGGCAGTAGACCCTTAAGTCCTACTGAGCGCAACACTGTCAACCGCGACACGATACACTGAATGGTTCGAGAGTAAACTCTGTAAAAAGCGCAAAAATATGCCCTTACAGAGCTGGTGCAGAGCGCGTCTGGTAGCCAGCCTATCACCGTGTCCAGGTCGATTGCATCCATGTCGATCATTGCTTGGTACTCCTCGGGACCCCTCATGTGACACTGCTCTGGGCATCGGCTGAATCTCATTGTCTGCTCCTGCCAATCCACCTCAGGGTTGTGTTCCGTCAGCCAATCCAGACCGATGAAGATCCGGGCTTTTCCTAGACACGTCAGGAGTAATGTGCGGGTCTCCACATGAGGACCGATTCTCATCCTCAAGTCAACGTAATGTGTGATCCGGCCGCTGATGTTCTTGGTGTTGTCGGCGTTTCGTGCCACGATGGGTTGTGGAAGCTCTTGGATGTCCAATTTCTCTGCTTGTGCGTCGTCGGTGTCAATGCAGCAGGTACTGCAGCCACTATCGAGCAGCGCCTTGACTCCACGCATTTTCCCTGAGTCCAGACCCGTGATCTGGACGTATACGTCCATCAAATGCCTCTTTCTTTTGGCCTGGTAACTGCGCAATTCCTGCACCAATCTGCTGGGCTGGGGGCCCTTCTGTTTCTTGGCTGCCAATTTCCTCTGGACGGCATCTGGCACCCTCGTGCGTTTGGGTGCTTCTGGAACCTTGATTTTGGCAGATTCCTTAGGCGCTTCCTCCTTTTCCAAGGATTGAGCCTCCAGAGCGATGCTCCCCTTTTCGGTCTTTGTTGACGTGGTTCCTTCTCCACGAGCCATAAATACGTAGGAGTCCAAAATTAATTTATCTGCAGCCCTCTGATCCTTTTTACTCTGTAAATACTCTCTATTTAAAGCTATTTTTCTTTGGCATTCTTTTTCCATATCGGCAATGAGAAAATCGTGAATACTAGTACGTAGTGAGTCTGAGATCGTGTATGTATGAGGAGAATTGTTTGTATCTTTAATCGAAACAAGTCAGAAAAACGTCCATAGTCCGGACACTCCATCTCCTTGGCTAGAGGAGTGGAGCGTTTCAAAAACCCTTCTTGCGCAGCTTCTCAGCGATCTCCTTGAGGAACTCATTGTCCTTGTCCCCGTTCTCGATCTCTTCAAGCATCGTGGCCCGATTGAAGAACATGCGCTTCTTCCTTGGCTCTGGGCAGTTCCGCGCGATGTGCCCGGGCTGCTGACAGTTGTAGCAGATGATGTTGCGGCTGCGGGCGTTGGTGCGATCAATCTCCATCGGAACTGGTTCATTGGCCGCCGGTCGGGCCAAAGCAGGTGCAGGTGCGGCTGATGCAGCCTGAGGGCGGAATTGGGGGGGTGGTCGTGGCGTGGGATGTCCATAAGATGCCTTGCATAGCTGGTTGCGTAGAGCATTGGCTTCGATGTTGATGCACCAGGCTTTGAACGCCCCATAGGCCTTGGGCAGAGGAAAACCAGTGTTGTAAAGACGGCTGTTGATCTTGCTACTGAGTCCGATGAAATGCCGAGGGCGCGCTCACAGGTGAATCTACTATGAAAGTAAACCCAAATATAAACACGTTCACACTCCTCGTAATCAGCTTCTCAGTGTGTGAAAGATGCGAGGGCTTCGGGGTGGACAGAGCACCAGTATCACAACTCTCAATAGACACAGATCACTAGTCGCGGAAGACGAAGTCGACAATAAGAATTTATATATAGCAAACAGTGGTGTCTCAACCAATATCTTCTACACAAACACAATCACCACTAATCCAATCACAACCAACAATATAACAAGTCAGAGCTTAATACGGAGTATGAAGATCCCTTGTAGCGGCAGCGTCTAGATGGTGACGCAAAGCCCAAATATCAAGTCGACGCACTGCCAACTGATACAACCAATATACTGAGTCGACGCACTGCCAACTAGTAGAACCAAAATGTCAAGTCGACGCACTGCCAACTGACACAACCAAAAGTACTGAGTCGACGCACTGCCAACTAGTAAACCAAAATGCCGCGTCGACGCACTGCCAACTAACAGCCAATATCCAATGTCCAAAACCCGAGCACAACTTGTCGACGCACTGCCAAGCAAGAAGTGTGGAACCAAAGTTCTCAAGTCGACGCACTGCCAACTGACCAAAACAACCCGAGCACAACTAGTCGACGCACTGCCAAGCTAGAGGTGTGGAAACTATCTCAACAAAGCCCAAAGGCGATGACGCTAAATGCTGCGACTGAACCAAGATGCGGGAAATCCGACTTTCTGATATCTCAACTCAAACTCAAATCACAGTAGCTACAAGTGCTCAGGGAGCAACTCGTTGCGACCGGGCAGGGGTAGCAGAACTTCTTAGGGTGGAATCACGCGGCACGCAAATTGTACGAAACAATCTGAAATGAGAGTGATTCACAGTCCGGGGGAAAGCTTTTTTTAATACAAAGAAACGACGTGCTACTTATACTGTCTACGACAATGCTTAGTAAAGTCCTGTACAACTGCATAGTGTCATAGTTCGGCCACTTTTTCATCTTATCATCGACGATCTTATCTTATCTTGGCACGACTTATCTTATCACGGATCACGGCATCAGACGGTCCGGGCTAGGGGTTATCTCTATCGATTCGAGGCTGCGCGACATATGCTCCGGAAGGTTCTACTACAACCCATGACCAGCGCTCCATGCGGTACATAGTCTTATGACTCATTAGTTGTAGATATGACTCAGACTGGATTTGGGTATAAATACTGTAGCTACTTGGTTGTATTCTCCAGTCTTCGAATTCACTTCTCTTTTCGACTTTGTTTTTGGGTTGATTGTCACATAATTCGAAGACTCCCCTCATACCCTCCTACCTCATACCTCTTACCCTGCATCTTGCACCGCTACGCCCGCTATATCCTCTTAACCCTTACCACCCCACTCACCCTTTTACCGAATCATCTAGTCGTCCTCCACTATCGCAGTGAAGGGTTCATATCAAGCAAACAGCACCAGGCCACGGGTAACGTTGAGCCCGACCCAAGCCTTACGGTAGCTACAAGGAGTGCTGCGGAGACCTTCGGGAAAACGCACCTCGGGATCATCGGGCACGTGAAGAGCTAGGCCCGGGATCTTTTTGCTAGCAAAAGAACCTTTCCTCGAGTGCTTGTACAGCACACGAATCCACCATTTCGTACCGATTCCCATCGTCGTCTGGGAGTCCATCCCCTCCCCCCATCGTACCATCGTCGCCCGATCTGGCGCATCAAAACCAACCCGGGCCCTCCGACCCCTACCTCGCCCTCCCACCGCCTGAAGACGAGATCCCCGACCTCGACGAACTGCCCTCCGAACAACCACCCTCGCCTCCACCTCACACGCCTGCCCCTACCATGTCAGGGCATCACCGCATCACCCTCGCCGCCAACCCCCCCTACTTCGATGGCGACAAGTCCAAATACCTGGGCTTTGTGGACGCGTGCACCACTTACATCGGTGCCTATCGATCGGAGTTCTCACAAGATGAGACCAAAATCCTCTTTGTCCTCTCCTACCTCCGTAACGAGAACGGCACGAGCTGCGCTGCCTCGAGATGGGCGATGAACTGGAAGCAGCACAACTTCGATGGCTTCCAGGGACTGAAGGCAGGAGTCACATCAAAGAACTTCCTGGAGGAGTTTCAGAGGGCGTTCGGGGACTCCAATGCGGAACAAGTCGCCGCTGCTCGGCTTATGGCCCTGCGTCAAAACAAACGGTCCTTCGCGGACTACATCTCCGACTTTGAGATGTTGGCCGCGGATGCAGGCTACAATGTGGTTGACACCACCGACGACAAAGGCGAATACAAGAAGGGGGACCAGGATAATATCCTCATCGAGTTCCTGGAGCGCGGACTCAGCAGCGAGATCGCCAGCCGTCTCTACAACACCGGTGTCCCTCTGCCCAAGGCCTATGGAGCGTTCAAAGCCTGGTGCATCAACATCGAAGCCAATGCTCTGCGTGACCAGCTGCGCAAAGCGTCGTATGGGCACCCCACACAACGACCACCTCCCCAGTTCCGTCCCCAAACGGCACCAGTGGCGCCCACACCCGCTCCGGCCCGACCCGCTGCCAACGAACCGGTTCCGATGGAAATCGATCGTACCCACGCCCGCGGCCGCAATATCATCTGCTACAACTGTCAGCAGCCCGGGCACATTGCGCGGAACTGCCCGGAGCCCAAGAAGAAGCGCACGTTCTTCAATCGGGCCACAATGCTGGAAGAAATCGAGAACGGGGACAAGGACAACGAGTTCCTGAAGGAGATTGCCGAGAAGCTGCGCGAGAAGGGTTTTTGAAGCGCTCCACTCCTCTAGCCAAGGAGGTGGAGCGTCCGGACTATGGACGATTTTCTGTACTTGTTTCGATTAAAGATACGGACAATATTTCATCTACATACACGATCTCAGACTCACTACGTACAAATATTCACGATTTTCTTATTGCCGAGATGGAAAAAGAACGCCAGGAAAAGATAGCTCTAAATAGAAAATACTTACAAGATAAAAAGGATCAGAAAGCTGCAGATAAATTATTTTTGGACTCCTACGTATTTATGGCTCGTGGAGAAGGAACCACGTCAACAAAGACCGAAAAGGGGAGCATCGCTCCGAAGGCTCGATCCTTGGAAAAGGAGGAAGCGCCCAAGGAATCTGCCAAAATCGAGGTTCCAGAAGCACCCAAACGCACCAGGGTGCCAGATGCCATCCAGAGGAAATTGGCGACCGAGAAACAGAAGGGCCCCCAGCCCAGCAGATTGGCGCAGGAATTGCGCAGTTACCAAGCCGAAAGAAAGAGGCATTCGATGGACGTATATGTCCAGATCACGGGCCTGGACTCAGGGAAAACGCGTGGAGTCAAGGCGCTGCTCGATAGTGGCTGCAGTACCTGCTGCATCGACACCGACTACGCACGGGCAGAAAAGCTGGATATCCAAGAGCTTCCGCAACCCATTGTGGCTCGTAACGCCGACAACACCGAGAACATCAGTGGTCGGATCACACACTACGTCGACTTGAGAATGAGAATCGGTCCTCATGTGGAGACACGCACGTTCCTTCTGACGTGTCTGGGAAAAGCCCGGATCTTCATCGGCCTGGATTGGCTGACGGAACACAACCCCGAGGTGGATTGGCAGGAGCAGACAATGAGATTCAGCCGATGCCCAGAGCAATGTCAAATGAGGGGTCACGAGGAGCACCAAGCGATGATCGACATGGATGCAATTGACCTGGACGCGGGTGCACCGGATCTGGAAGAGGGAGAATCGATCTTGTTGATCGACTTTGGAAAGGAGGTAGACCTACGGCTGAAGGAAACGCCGGCGCAGAAATTCGCAGAAGAAGCGGAAAAGGAGAAGGAGAGAATGACCGAGGGAAAGATTCCAGATCAATACCGAGAATTCGTCAAAGTATTCGCCAAGGAATCATTCGACTCGCTACCGGACCGACGGGCATGGGATCATGCGATCGAGCTCAAACCAGGCTCCAAAGCAGTGGACTGCAAGGTGTACCCCTTATCGAGAAACGAGCAGGTCAAACTCGACGAGTTCTTACAAGAGAACCTAGCCAGCGGACGAATCAGGCCATCAAAATCACCCATGGCATCGGCATTCTTCTTTGTCAAAAAGAAGGACGGCTCGCTACGGCCTGTTCAAGATTACCGGAAGCTGAATGAGATGACGATCCGAAATCGGTACCCGCTACCGCTGATTTCCGAACTGGTCCACAACCTGTGCGGCGCCAAGTTCTTCACCAAGCTAGACATCCGGTGGGGATACAACAACGTACGGATCAAAGAGGGTGATGAGTGGAAGGCTGCGTTTCGCACAAACCGCGGACTTTACGAGCCCTTGGTTATGTTCTTTGGTCTCACAAATTCCCCGGCAACTTTCCAAAACATGATGAACGACATACTCCGGGAACTGATCAACGAGGGACATGTGGTAGTTTATCTGGACGACATACTAATCTTCACAGAAAATCTGGATGAACATCGACGAATCACCAAACGGGTACTCGAGTTGCTCCAAAAGCACAAATTATACCTGAAGCCGGAAAAGTGCGAGTTCGAACGCACGGAAATCGAATACCTGGGTGTAATCATTGGACACAACTCGATGCGGATGGACCCTGTCAAGATCAAGGGCGTGATGGAATGGCCGGAACCAAAGAGCGTCAAACAAGTCCAAGCCTTCCTCGGATTCACAAACTTCTATCGACGTTTCGTTCGGGGATATGCGGAGGTCGCCAAGCCGTTGACGCGGCTGACAGGGAAGGCAGGATGGTCATGGGGGCCGGATGAACATGCGGCGTTTGATGGGTTAAAGAAGAGAATCGCGGAGGATGCCGTCTTAGCACTGCCAAATGACACTGGCCAATATCGTCTGGAAGCCGATGCTTCGGAAGGGGCAACAGGATCAGTTTTGAGCCAAAACCAAGACGGCATTTGGCGCCCAATCGCATTTATTTCGCACGCATTGACCGAAACCGAGCGAAATTATGAGATCTACGACAAGGAGATGCTCGCAATCATGTTATCACTTGACGAATGGAGGCAGTTGCTCCTGGGAGCCACGGAAACGTTCGAGATCTTCACCGATCATCAGAATCTCGAGTACTTTCGGAAGCCGCAGAAGCTCAATCGACGGCAAGCACGATGGATCACGGAGTTGGCGGAGTTCGATTTCACCTTACGACACCGACCCGGCGCACTCAACCGCAAGGCGGACCTCCTGTCCCGACGAGCAGATCACGATCAGGGCAAGAACGACAACAAGGACGTCACGCTACTGAAGCCCGAGTTCTTCCGATCACAAGAAATCACATTCGAGGGACAGGATCAGCAGCTAATCGACGAAATCAAGGCCATTTGATCAATTGATGGAAGCGTCAAGGCGGCCTTAGAGAAGTCACTCGCCGGATGGAAGAAGGAAGAGGGGCTTATCACGTACCATGGGAAGCTCTACGTACCAAGGGACGAGGAGTTGCGGGACAAAATCATTGGACTACACCACGACACCCCTTTGGTCGGACACGCCGGGATCAACCGAACGCAGGAGATGGTGGAAAGGAACTACTGGTGGCCAAGGATGGGAAACCAAATTCGGAAATACATCCAGACGTGCGAAGCGTGCCAGCGGACCAAGACCAGAAGAGCCAGGACAGGGAGTTTGCACCCGCATGCAGTTCCAAACGCGCCGTGGGAAATCATCTCCATGGATCAGATCGGACCCCTGCCGGTCAGTAACGGGTATGACGCAATTCATGTGTGGTGTGACACCTTCACCAAAATGATCCATGTCGAACCAATTAGTACTGACATCAGCAGCGAAGGAGTAGCACGATTAACCAGGGACCGAATCTTCCGCTATCACGGGGTCCCCCGCAAAATCATCACTGACAGGGACTCTCGATACATCAAGGGCTTTATGAAGGAAACGAATCGGATGTTGGGCGTGGAAATGAATCCGGGGACCGCATATCACCCCATCACGGATGGGCAGACGGAGCGTATGAATCAGGAGATCGAACACTATCTCCGCATTTACGTCAACTACCATCAGACGGACTGGTCGGAGTGGCTGGGAATGGCGGAGTTCGCATACAACGACAAAATGAACACGTCTACCAAAATGTCGCCGTTCTATGCTAATCACGGATATCACCCATGGAAGGGAGTGGAGCAGCGGATGGAATCAAGGAACGAGTCGGCGGAGGAATTTGTAAAAAGAATCAAAGAAATACAAGACGAAGCAAAAGCAGCATTGGAAAAAGCAAAAGAAAAAATGAAAAAATACTACGATAAACAAAGAAAAGAAGTTCCGGAGTTGAAGGTTGGGATGAAGGTATACATAGAAGGGGAAAATATCGAGACGGATAGACCATCAAAGAAGATGAGCGACAAGAGATTGGGACCATACGAGATACTGGAGAAGGTTGGAGCGGCCGCATGGAAGCTGGATTTGCCGGACACGGACCGAAGACACCCGGTGTTCAACGAGTCACTGTTGACACCCTATCACGAACCACCCCCCCATCGCCGAGAGAAGAGACCCGTGGCCAAGATGATCGGAGGAGCAGAGGAGTGGGAAGTCGAAGAAATCGTGAAAGAGCGAAAAGTCGGCCGAGGAAAACAGTACTTGGTCAAATGGAAGGGATGGCCGCACAGCGAGAACACCTGGGAACCATCACGTCACCTTACCCACGCGAAGGACGTCCTGAGAGACTGGCAGAGGAAACAATCCAACCCAGACACACGCATTCGCCTCCTGCCAACGCTCGAAGCTGGACACTGGGACTATCTCATTCATCGCTACCAGCCCGTGGACGAGCGCCTTCCATACCCCCAACGACAACTCTTCGACCCCTACGAGAACGTCTTCACGCCCATTGGCCTAGTCGATGAGGACATCGACCCTAGAGAGGGGTAATGTCATAGTTCGGCCACTTTTTCATCTTATCATCGACGATCTTATCTTATCTTGGCACGACTTATCTTATCACGGATCACGGCATCAGACGGTCCGGGCTAGGGGTTATCTCTATCGATTCGAGGCTGCGCGACATATGCTCCGGAAGGTTCTACTACAACCCATGACCAGCGCTCCATGCGGTACATAGTCTTATGACTCATTAGTTGTAGATATGACTCAGACTGGATTTGGGTATAAATACTGTAGCTACTTGGTTGTATTCTCCAGTCTTCGAATTCACTTCTCTTTTCGACTTTGTTTTTGGGTTGATTGTCACACATAGTAGCTATGCTATCTAAGATTGGTTGCCTTTTAGAGTAATGAAAAGTTGACGATCAGGCGGGTCCTGAGTGATCAGGCGGGTCCTGAGTGATCAGGACCCCGCCCCATAGTCCATATGATACTTTTGATGTGGGTCAACCCACCGCGTCATACTTTTGGAATACAACGTGCTGGATTGGCCAACTGGTATGTCTTGGCAGGTGAGTCCAATGTGGGTGCCCCGAGAAGCCGTATGGCCCTAGGCACGCCAGACGTTCCTCACATGGTTTGGTTCACAGATTTAGCCCGTGTTGATGTTAGTGTGTTCGGGCATGGGCGCGACTCGCCGTGACACTTGGAAGTGTCACCGCGACGCGTCCACAATGTCCCGTGATCGAATGGATCCTGACATGTGACAAGTCGTTGCCGTGGCATGATCTGGGGAAACGTCCAACCCAAAAACCGGGAGTTGCCGCGACAAGATTGGTTCAATCTCGTAACGCCAAGTCCTGTCCAGTAGTAGTTGTAATATTGAGAACGTTGTGCATTGCTCAGCCCTTCAGCCCAAGTTCCCATCTGCAGAGAATGACCCTTTTTGAGAAGTCACCGCAACAAAGATCCCTTTTTGGGGGATTGTTGCGGTCCAAGCGTTCGTCACTAATAGCCCTGAGCCTGGTGTAGACTCATAAGACCAGTTCCACAGTAGTGGTCTGACTGCCTTGCTATCATTGACTGGGCAGTAGACCCTTAAGTCCTACTGAGCGCAACACTGTCAACCGCGACATGATACACCAAATGGTTCGAGAGTAAACTCTGTAAAAAGCGCAAAAATACGCCCTTACAGAGCCGGTGCAGAGCACATCTGGTAGCCAGCCTATCACCGCGCTCCAGGAACTCAATGAGGATATTGTCTTGGTCCCCCTTCTTGTATTCACCCTTGTCGTCGGTGGTGTCGACCACATTGTATCCCGCATCTGCGGCCAACATCTCAAAGTCGGAGATGTAGTCTGCAAAGGACCGTTTGTTTTGGCGCAGGGCCATGAGTCGAGCAGCGGCGACTTGTTCCGCATTGGAGTCCCCAAAGGCCCTCTGAAGCTCCTCCAGGAAATTCTGTGATGTGACCCCTGCCTTCAGTCCCTGGAAGCCATCGAAGTTGTGCTGCTTCCAGTTCATCACCCAACTTGAGGCAGCACAGCCCGTGCCAGTCTCGTTACGGACGTAGGAGAGGACAAAGAGGATCTTGGTCTCGTCCTGCAAAAACTCTGATTGGTAGGCACCAATGTAGGTGGTGCACGAGTCCACAAAGCCCAGATATTTGGACTTGTCCCCATCGAAGTAGGGAGGGTTGGCGGCAAGGGTGATGCGATGGTGACCTGACATGGTAGGAGCAGGTGTGGTAGGCGGGGGTGAGGGTGACTGTTTGGAGGGCAACTTGTTGAGGTCGGGGATCTCGTCTTCAGGCGGTGGGAGGGCAAGGTAGGGATTGGAGGGCCCGGGTTGGTTTTGATGCACCAGATCGGGCGACAATGGTAGGTCTTCTTCAGTTGAGCCTTTGCTGGCCAGACATTCCATCAAATAAAATACTGTGTTGCACAACAGTAGTGTGATTGGGTGTGGGAGCTGAGCCCAGGGCGCAAAGCCGGCGGGGTGCGGATGACCCCAAAATGTGCTGCCCAGCCAGAACAACGCCGGCTCACCCAAAGAAAGCAGCACAACTTGTGTGTCAGTAAAATATGCACGATATGCACGCCGGAAAATGTGCAGGCTATGCCCAGTACACAATATACGCATGTGCAGGATATGTATTGTCAAAATGCACGATATGCAGGCGAATTATGCATGATATGCACGCCGAAAAATGTGCAGGCTATGCACAGCGCACAACATGCACAGATGCAGGCTATCTATTGTCAAAAATGCATGACATACACTGCAGGAAAATGCAGGATATGCACAAATCTAGGCCAATCAAAGTCGAAATAAGCACAATATGCAAGCCGGAAATGTGGAGGCTATGCCCAGGGCATGATATGAGCATGTGCAGGCAATGCACCGTCGAAATATGGACGATATGCAGTCGAAATATGCACTACATGCATGCTGGAAAATGTGTAGGCTATGCACGGTGCACGATGTGCATGGGTGCAGGCTATGCATGCCAGAAAATGCGCAGGATGTGCGCAGTGCATGATATGCGTGGGTGCAGGCAACGCATAGGCGCAGGTGCAGGCTAGGCACGGACAAAAAGCACAATATGCATAGGACAAAATACACAGGATATGTGCTAGTGCAGGCTATGCACTGTCAAAAGGCACGATATGCACAGGAGAAAAAAAAAGTGCCCAATATGCGCAAGTGCAGGCTATTGAAAAAGCACAATATGCACCACAAGAAATATGCAGGATATGCGCAGGTGTAGGCTATACACCGTCGAAAATGCACAATATGCACGCAGAAATACGCAGGATATGCACAGCGCACGATATGCACAAGTGCAGGCTATGCACAGTGAATAATGCACGATATGCATGCCATAAAATGCGCAGAATATGCACAGCGCACAATATGCACAAGTGCAGGCTATGAACACTCAAAATGCACGATATGAACCACAGGAAGGGCACAGAATATGCACAATGCACAATATGCGCAAGTGCAGGCTATGCACGGTCGAAACATGCACAATATGCACGCCCAAAAATACGCAGAATATACGCACCGCACAATATGCGCAAGCGCAGGCTATGCACAGTCGAAACATGCACGATATGCACCACAGGAAGGGCACAGAATATGCACAATGCACGATATGCGCAAGTGCAGGCTATGCACGGTCGAAACATGCACAATATGCACAGTCGAAAAATGCCTGATATGCACCACAGGAAAGGCGCAGAATATGCGCAGTGTAAAATGCATAATATGCACGCCACAAGACGCAGAATATGCGCAGTGCATGACAGGCGCAGGTGCAGGCTATGCACCATCAAACATGCACGGTATGCCCAGTTGGATGCATTGAGTGAGAGAGGGAGATCAATGCATCATCTTGTGAGGGAGAGAGCCGAAGAGCAGGGGGTGGCTGTGAGCTCACTCTCTCCTTCCACCCACCTGCCGGCAATCTCATCCTTGACAAATTCCCATTTCTGCGCTCTTATTACACACTCTTTAATGCTTCTATATGACTGACTATCACCCAGAACTCGACACTATCTGCATAAATCTCTGTACACCACGGATTCCATCTCAAGCTCGAATTTGGATGCTATATAAGAGTGTCTCTGGGGTACACCCCAATTCTATCCATGAAGCTGAATATCTCCCTCTCTTTTCAAAGTTACAGCTCGACATATACACTGCTCGTCGACTCGATCCTGGCATTAGATCGACCCCATCTACATTCCCCAGCCTTCAGAACCCTCCCCTTTCCGCCCACTTCGAGCTGCCGACCCCCCCTGATCTTCCAGACAGTAATCCCAGTCCATTCCTTCGATTTCTGGCCGCCCATTCGCGACAAAATCCCCTGCCCCATACCCTGCAAGCTGCGAATGCCTCTTCGCTTCAGATGCACGCTTATTCGGGTTTCCCTCCCTCTCTCATTGGGCGCTCAAATCCTGCGATTTAATCGCACCCAGAGCGATATTATCGCATATTTTCGATCTTTGGGGCTCTTTCCGTTGTCTGACGACGCTGCAGGGTTATTTCGCGCTCAGCCCTCATTCTGGACGAGCAACAGTCTCCCCCCTGCAGCCTGCAGACTGGAGCCAAGTTTTTCGCTTGAATTCCAGCGCTTATTCGCTTTTCACTCCCATTCCTATTGGGTGCTTGTTTCCTGCGATTAAATCGCACCCAGTGCGAGATTATGGCATATTTTCGGTTTGTTTGGGTTCCTTGCGTTGTCTGACAACGTTGCAGGGGTATTCCACGGCCACTCGTCATTCTGGATTGTTTTCTCCTGGACCAGGCGCTGCTCGATTCCACATAGCGTCATTATTTGTGCATATCGTGCATTTTTCGACTGTGCATAGCCTGCACTTGCGCCTATTGTGCGCTGGGCATATCCTGCGCCTTTCCTTAGTGCATATCACGCATTTTTCAACTGTGCATAGCCTGCACTTGCGCATATTCTGCGTCTTTTCTACTGGGCAATATCCTGCGTATTTTCAGTGGGAATATTGTGCATTTTGATGGTGCATAGCCTGCACCTGCGCATATCCTGCATATTTTCGGCGCGCATATCATGGATTTTTGATGGTGCATAACTTGCACATGCACCATTTGTGTGCTGCGCGTGTCCTGCGCATTCCTGGCATGCACATCATGCATTTTTCGACTATGCATAGCCCACACTTGCGCATATTCTGAGTATTTTCTACTGGGCATATTGTGCATTTTTGATGGTGAATCCCCTGCACCTGCGCCCATTGTGCGCTGCGCATATTTTGCGTGTGTTCCACTGTGCATATCGTGCATTTTTGATGGTGCATAGCCTGCACCTGCGCATATCCTGCGTATTTTCGGCGTGCATTTCATGCATTTTTGATGGTGCATGGCTTGCACATGCCCCATTTGTGCGCTGCGCATATCCTGCGCCTTTTCTCAGTGCACATCATACAATTTCGACTGTGCATAGCCTGCACTTGCGCATACCTTGCGCTGCGCATATCCTGCATATTTCTGCGTGCATATTGTGCATTTTCAACGGTGTATAGCCTACACCTGCGCATATCCTGCATATTTCTTGTGGTGCATATCGTGCTTTTTCAATAGCCTGCACTTGCGCATATTCTGCACTGTTTTCTCCTGTGCATATCGTGCTTTTCGACAGTGCATAGCCTGCACTAGCGCATATGCTGTGCATTTTCTCCTATGCATATTGTGCTTTTTGTAAGTGGATAGTATGCACCTACGCCTATTTGTTACCTGCACCCACGCATATCGTGCACTGTGCACATCCTGCGCATTTTCTGGCGTGCATAGCCTGCACCCATGCATATCATGCGCGGTGCATAGCCTACACATTTTCTGGCATGCATATCGTCCATATTTCGGCTGCATATCGTCCATATTTGATGGGTATTGCCTGCACATGCTCATTTCATGCACTGGGCGTAGCCTGCACATTTTCCGGCTTGCATATTGTGCCTATTTCGACTTTGATTAGCCTAGAAATGCGCATATCCTGCGTTTTCGTGCGGTGTATATCATGCATTTTTGACAATGCATAGCCTGCATCTGTGCATGTTGTGTACTGGGCATAGCCTGCACATTTTCCGGCGTGCATATTGTGCATATTTTACTGACACACAAGTTGTGCTGCTTTCTTTGGGTGAGCCGGCGTTGTTCTGGCTGGGCAGCACATTTTGGGGTCATCTGCACCCCGCCGGCTTTGCGCCCTGGGCTCAGCTCCCACACCCAATCACACTACTGTTGTGCAACACAGTATTTTATTTGATGGAATGTCTGGCCAGCAAAGGCTCAACTGAAGAAGAAGAAAATACGCAGAATATGCGCAAGTGCAGGCTATGCATAGTCGAAAAATGCACAATATGCATGCCAGAAAATGTGCAGGACATGCGCAGCTATGCACCATCGAAAGTGCATGATATGCACGCCGAAAATAACCAGGATATGCGCAGGTGCAGGCCATGCACCATCAAAAATGGACAATATGCCCACTGAAAATACGCAGGATATTGCCCAGTAGAAAAGACGCAGAATATGCGCAAGTACAGGCTATGCACAGTCGAAAATTGCATAACATGCACGACATGCACGATATGCACGCCCAAAGATACGCAGAATATGTGCAGTGCACAATACACAACATGCACGCCAGAAAGGACGCAGAATATGCGCAGCGCAAAATATGCGCATGTGCAGGCTATGCACGCTCAAAATGCACGATATGCACACCCAAAGATACGCAGAATATGCACGATCAAAGAGTGCACAATATGCACGCCAGAAAGGACGCAGAATAATTGAAGCGTAGAATATGCGCAAGTGCAGGCTATGCACAGTCGAAAGATGCATGATATGCACCACAGGAAAGGCGCAGAATATGCGCAAGTGCAGGATATGCGCAGGTGCAGCCTATGCACGGTCGCGAAATGCACGATATGCACGACAGGCAGGGCGCAGAATATGCGCAGCGCACAATAGGCGCAGTGCAGGCTATGCACAGTCGAACAATGCACAATATGCATGCTGGAAAATGTGCAGGCTATGCACCGTCGAAAAAGCACGATATGCAGTCGAAATATGCACGATATGCACGCCGTAAAAACGCAGGATATGCGCAGCACAGGCTATGCGCCGTCTAAAAATGCACAGAGTGCAGGGCAGGAACATGCATGATATGCACAGAAGCAAAGGCACTGGAGATGCGCAGCAGAGATCATGCAAAATATGCACAACAGTTACAACTCACTAAATTCGAAGTAATTATTGACGCTATGCGGCCCAGGCCAGCGGCTGGGTCAAGACTAACGGTCCAGAATGAGCTGAGACCATAGAATGTCCCTGCAGCGTTGTTAGACAACGGAAAGAGCCCCAAAGATCGAAAATATGCGATAATATCGCTCTGGGTGCGATTAAATCGCAGGATTTGAGCGCCCAATGAGAGAGGGAGGGAAACCCGAATAAGCGTGCATCTGAAGCGAAGAGGCATTCGCAGCTTGCAGGGTATGGGGCAGGGGATTTTGTCGCGAATGGGCGGCCAGAAATCGAAGGAATGGACTGGGATTACTGTCTGGAAGATCAGGGGGGGTCGGCAGCTCGAAGTGGGCGGAAAGGGGAGGGTTCTGAAGGCTGGGGAATGTAGATGGGGTCGATCTAATGCCAGGATCGAGTCGACGAGCAGTGTATATGTCGAGCTGTAACTTTGAAAAGAGAGGGAGATACTCAGCTTCATGGATAGAATTGGGGTGTACCCCAGAGACACTCTTATATAGCATCCAAATTCGAGCTTGAGATGGAATCCGTGGTGTACAGAGATTTATGCAGATAGTGTCGAGTTCTGGGTGATAGTCAGTCATATAGAAGCATTAAAGAGTGTGTAATAAGAGCGCAGAAATGGGAATTTGTCAAGGATGAGATTGCCGGCAGGTGGGTGGAAGGAGAGAGTGAGCTCACAGCCACCCCCTGCTCTTCGGCTCTCTCCCTCACAAGATGATGCATTGATCTCCTTCTCTCACTCAATGCATCCAATGTAGTGCTCTCAGGGTTCAGTTTGGAAATCGGTTCGAACCCGAACCAAACCAAACCAAACTCGGGTTCGGGGTTCGGGTTCAACTAAATGCCCGAACCTGAACCGTGGTCCGGTTCGGGGTTCAGGGGAGACCAAAAAAGCCAAACTTGGTTCGAACCGCTAACTTGGTTCGACCCGGTTCGAACCATCAAAATTCTTTAAGGTATTTTTGTAGCTGAACAGGCTTGTAGAACCTCTTTCCATCCCCCAAAAGAACAAATTCTATACAACTGAACTTGTTTGAGGTGTGTCTGAATAAATTTAGGGATGGACCAAGGATTCTATCCAATGCAAGGCCAAGTGATGCTGATGTAATCATCTCAATGTCAAAGTTTTTGGGTAACTATGCCCTGACAAATTGTCCAAAAAGATCCCCAAACCTATCAGGATCTGCCTGTTTCCATCTCTAGACTTATTACACATTGATGTGCACGGGCGACGTCTAAGCGAGGACCCAAAAATGGGAGAACGGGGACGAGAGGGTGAATGGGCGGGCCCCGCTCCAAGTGCGTCGTGCAGTGATGTATTGATGCGAGGTGTCCAAACCAAGGTTCAGGTGGAACCGGGACTGAAGAAATGAGCGGGAGAACTACTGCGGCGTCTGGCTGGACCGCGGTTTTGCTAGATAGATGAGGTAAACGATGGGAGGTCAGAGTCAGGAACTCTTCGAAATGAGCTATAAAGGGGGTATTGTGTTCTATTCTTTCATAGCTACAAGTCTGTATTTTATACTACAATGTGAACGGTGTCTGGAACATTCTGTAAGTATTGTGAAGTGACGGAGAAACCACCAGAAAACCGTGGCCGCTGAGCTTAATCCTGATGTCGGTGGATGCGCCGCGGCCGCTGATGATGGGTGGCAGTGTCCGTGTACAGCCGCTGATCAGGCTCAACATCTCCTCCCTACTGAAGTCATGACCGTCCTCGGTCATCCGCTCGATTGCGCCTCGTAGTCTGCTGGGATGGACTTGGATGGGGTGTTTTGGTGCGTCCTCCCTACTGAAATCGGGATCGTGGGCCGCTAACCATCTTTTTCATCATCCTGGTCTGGTAACTCTTCGTCTCCCGTTTCGTCATCCTCTGGATCTGCCAATATCAACGCTTCTAGTTCGCGCAGTCGCTCGGTGGAGATATCGAGGAGGTTGTTGAGAGGTGGTAGGTCAATGGCTTTGCGTGCGAAGTACGGGATGACACGGAAGGCGGCAATAGGGCGGTGAAAAACCGATCCGTCGAGTTCACACAGGATATACGCGCCTCCGCGGTTGCGTGAGATGACAACCAGGGGTCCAAGGTAGCGCTTGCGCATCTTCCGGTTGAGCAACTTCTCAATAGCCGTGTTTCGCATCAGGACCAGATCTCCGCGTTTGAAGTCAAAGTCCCGAATCGTCGACGCGTGCTCTTTCTCGAAGCGAAGGGCTGCCCTGACGCGAGCCTCATAGACGTCAGAATGGAGCTGGGCTAGATGGGCTCGTCGTTTTTGGAGGGATATGGCGCGTTGTGCAATGAGATTGGTGGTGGACAGGATGAACTCGGGCGGTGGGAGAAGGTATGTGGCCTCGGAGACATCGAGCGGGAGTAACGGATGTGTCCCAGTAACGGCGAAATACGGCGAGCAACCCATGCGACGTCGGGCTGTGACTCGATCGGCCCAGAAGACGGAATACGCGGCACTGTGCCATTTTGCTTGGTTACCATCGCTTGCCTTGAAGAGCGCTTGTCGGACGTCGAAATGCGGTCGCTCCGCTAGGTTGGCCTGGGAGTTATAGCCCAATATGCAGATGTGGCGTACTCCATACTGCTTCTCGAGGTAACTCAGCGCTTTCACAAAAGGGGTCCCGTTGTCTGATACAATCTCGCAGAGTGTTCCCCATCTGCAAAGCAGGTCTTCAAAGATCCAGGATGCAAGCGCTTTCGCGTTTTCTCGGCGAGGCATTCGAAACTCGGGGTAGTGGGTGAGCGAACAACGAGCTTGCACGATGTAGCGGAAGCCTCCGCTCATCGGGAGATGCATGGTGTCCATGTATACCTTAGCGAAGAGCGGCGCCGGGACTGCAACCGTTGGCGGTATGGTGACTTTCCGAATCTGCCTCTGCTGACATAGATCGCAGGTCCGGACGTACCAAGCGATGTCATGGGCCATGTGTGGCCACCAGAATCGCTCGGCAATGAGGGCGCGGGTCGCATAGAAGCCTTTATGACAGACATCGTCATGTGCTGAGTGGAGGATAACGAGCCGGCGTTCGGTCAGGACAACCAGCTTGTGGCGGCCATCTGGATGCTTGCGCCAGAGCGTGCCATCAGAGAGGTAAAATTCCATCACGTATCGTATAAATGACTGATACTCGCTGTCGGATAGCTCGCGGGGACGCTCACGTGTGTCCAGCCACTGGCGTACTAGATGGACGCGGTAATCTGCAAGGCGGTCGGACTCAGAACGGGGAACGGAATCCTAGGAAAAGGGGGGCAGTGGGTCTTCTTCGGGAATGACCTCGGCGGCGAGGGTAGCCACGATATTTTCGAGACGAGGGACATAGGGTGAGTGGTTAATCATGTGCATGAAACCATGAACCTGATCAACCCAGTCCTCGAACTCATCTTCCGGTTCCGGCTCATCACTACTCTGCGCGGGACGGCGAGACAGGCCATTGGGTCGATGGGAAATGCCTGGGACATGGACGAGGGTGAAGTGAAATGTAAGAATAGCGAGGATCCACCGGTTGATGGATGCGGAGGGGGATAGATCGGGATTGGTGAGCATTCCTTTTATGTACCGGGCATCTACTTCGACCACTAGATTGCGGATGCCAATGACATGGAGTTTCCACGAGCGGAGCGCACGGTATAGACCATACAACTCAAGCTTTGGTTGTGAAAAACGGGACTCGCGGTCGTTCAAGGTAATGGAGCCAAATCTGGCGTAGAAGCGGCGTGACAGGAGCTTGGGATCGCATTGTGCGAGGAGGAAGCCCACGGCTATGTAGGAGGTGTCGACGGAAAGAATGACAGGGGCAGTGGAGCGGTAGTCAAGAGGTCGAAGCGCAGGTGAGTGTAGCAGGGCACGCTTCAGGTCATCTTGAGCGGCGGCTTGCTCAGGACCAAAGACGAAAGAGACCTCTTTTCGAGTGAGTTGGACTAGCGGGTAAGCACGTTTTGCAAAGTTCCTGATGAACATCCATGCCACACCAACAGTGCCGAGGAAGGCGCGGACGTCTGACAAGTTCTGACATGGTCCCCAGTTTGCAATCTTTGCGACACGGCTTGGATCGGGAACACGACCTGCTGGGGTACAGACGTGTCCTAGGACTGCGATCTGTTCCGTGCATAGAATCGCTTTGGGACCGGAGAAAGTGCCCCTGCAATACTTCATTCACTGAACGATTCGGTTTAGGTTCTGGAAGTGTTCCCAGACAAAGCGGCGAATTCCTGTGTTTTCAGGGATGGTCTCGGGCGATCCGTCAGCGAGGGGATATTGGGACTCGGGGCCTCTAGTGGGAACGTCGTCGATGTATGGGATTGTGTATTCTGGGATCTCTGGCTGTAGGATGAAGGTGACGTCATCGTGGAAGATAGGAACCGAATTTGACCACCCCATAGGCAAGGTCGTAAGCCGCTGTGCTCCAAAGGGGGTCTGGAACGTGGTGAGATCTCGTGAGGACTCCGCGAGAACTCGCTCATCATAGCCGACATAGAGATCCAGGATACCGCCGCAGGCACGGCCTGCAAACTGCTCGGCCAGCTGATCTGTCAATGGTGGCACGCCAGAGTGCTGAATGGTAACGGCGTTGAGCGGCTCGAGGCTGTGGACAAGACGCAAGCTAGTGCCGTCTTTCTTGACAACGCAGAACCAACGGGAGCGGCACGACAAATTTGACGGTTCATACACCCCTGCGGCAATCTTCTTGCGAATCAGCTCGCAGACTTGGTCGTAGATACCAGGCGGAATCAGTATGTTGCGTTGAACCCATGGAACGTGCGGTACGACTGGAATGTTGACAGGTTTGAAGAAGTCCAACCGGAATTTTCCTCGTTCAAGGTCGGTCCAGGCGAAGCCATCCTGATGGATCGACATTAAATGGTGCATCAAGCGACGCTCCTCTGGCCATAGAAATCCCTCGGGATGAAGGGAGTCGATGATGTCGCGTCGTTCAGTGGTGTAACGACCAATGGGAAGGAACGGGGGAGGGATCGGGGTGAGAGTTGGAAGGGTGTCCAGTGGGTCTCCGTGAATCTCCCTGACAATTCGAAACTGCTCCGGGAGACTCCCTAGGACCGGCCGGATTTTGCGTGCTACTGGTTTGTAATTTTTCTTGAAGACGTCGACTTGCCGCGCGGAATACGGGTTAGAAAGTGATGTAGATTGTTTGTAGATTGGAATAGAGGCTGCAGGATTGATAGGGGGGATCGAGGAAGGGCAACAGCGAGTTGAATCGCTGATGCTCATTTTGCGAGACGCCGGTTGAACGTCGAAATGCGAGTGGAAGTAGGTACTGTATGGGGCTGGGAGGCTGGTACATGCCGATAAGTAGATAGTCTGTAAAGTATCAGTAGTACGTGGGAAATGAGTGGGAAATGTAGCATAGGACTGAATGGAATGTGCGTCGGGGCTTGCATCGTCGGCCACGATGATCAGCGCGAGCTGCTCCTGATCGGAGATCAGATCATCTAGCCGCGAAAACCCTGCTCAGGCTGGCAGCGAGGGCGTGTCTGCCCACGGGGAACGGTCGGAATGGTCGCAATCTTGCCGGTGTTGGGGTCTCGTATGGTTACGGTCTGATTCTCGTCTGCATAGTTTCGAATGACACTTTCTGTCAGGACGTCAAAGGGCCGGCCAAGAAGGATGTTGTAAGCAGGATTACGGACGACGTGTACTTGCAAATACACCGTGATGTCGCCAAATGTGAATGGTACGTTTCTGGCCAGACCAAGCGACAGTGACACTGACCCATTTGCCGACTGCATCTGCAGCACAATGCGTGGGTCGTAGGCAAGGGCTAGCTCGTTTGACACTGCTTCCGACATCGCGATGATACCCGAGCCGCCATTGACAATACTTTCGACACATTTGTGATTGTCAACGATTGGGAGGACAGAGCGTATGGCAGAGGACTCGAGCGACACCACTAGGGCTTCCGGGATGGACTCGCCATTGGAGTAATACGCTTCGTAAGGGTCTGGGACAATGAAGGCGCCGGGTGGGAGCTGGGTGGCGGAATTTGCAAAAGTCGCTGGCATCGAGTCGAGGAATCTGGTGCTGCGTGCGTCGCGCTCTTTCTGCTCTTCGAGAGACTCGAGGGCTTCTGCATCTACAGGGATTGCCGCGCTCACCATTAGCTGGGGCGCCGTTGTAACTGTCTTTCCTTGCGCGGCTACTGAGGCTGTGCGTCGACTCGTGGTTGCGTCTCGGACCTGGGCCCGTACTTCTGGCGACAGGGAGAGGAGCTCTCGGTGGGTCAGGGTGATAGGTGCGTCCATGGACCGGTCGAAAACCTTGGAGGCGATCTTTTCGTCGAAAATGGGTGCAGTTGTCCGGTACGCTGGGTCGCTTTTCTTTGCCGCGTGGACTGGAGGCTTGGCCCCAACGTTTCGGTCGCGTGGCGGGGCATAGGCGGCATCGCGGACATGGGCATATGGGTGCTCAGGTGAGTTCTCCTTCGTGGGCCGTGTCATGATACTGGGTGGAACAGCAGGGGCGACAGGAGGCGCTGGCGGCGCCGGAGGCGGTACCGATGCGCGTACCGGTTGTTCTGGTTCCTCGACCGATTCTCCAGATGCGCCGGCGGCAAGAGCACGTCATGCCTGGGCGCGCGTGCGGATCGCAAAGATCTCCTTCTCCAGACTTGCAAGGCGTTCTTCTTCGGACAGGACGAATGTGGCAGCGGGATTGGACTGGGAAGACGCAGGATACGACGACGACAGGTGCGTGGGCACTTCGAGCATCATCTGTCCGGCGGCTAGCTGACCAGGGTTTTGTTTGTGCCATTCCTCGATACGGGCTCTGAGATTGACGCCGGGGATTCTCCGAGGAACGAACGCGCCGGTAGGGAGCACCACACCTCCATCGATATCACGCTTACATTTTCCAGCTTTCGTGTCTTCTTCAACGAGTGGGCAGCGACTGATGTAATGGTCGCCTCCACAGTACACGCACTGGTCGCCTTCTCGTCGGGGTGCCGATGGGCTGGCTGGCAATGGGCTCGCATATGGGCGACTGGGCTGCTGCTGCTGCGCTAGCAAGACCTTCATTAGACCATTCATGGTCTCGAGCAGCGCGCCAAAGTCGGGCTCAGATTTGACGGCGGGAGAACTGGTCGATTGGGAGGGCGGTACTGACGATGGAGACGGCGCGTTGAGCGTGACAGGACCGGCTAGGACGAATTCGACTGCTTTGGTGAGATCTACGAGGTTGTATGGGTCGTCTGGGTGATTGTCTGGACGTTTGATCTGCAAGCGCTGTGATACACGAGTTCAGAGGGTGGGTGGGGAGATGGCACGGCAGAACGATCTGCTCTGTTCGGCTGTTTAGAGTCGCCCTTTCGAGATCAGGTACGTTGTGATTGTGATGAAGCGCCTATAGAACTCGCTGTAGTCTGACAGCGACAGGATGCCAGACGTTGCGTATTCGCCGATCAGCGAATGGAGATCCGACATCGTATACTTTCGAAAAGAGTCGGTGCCGGAATAGAGCTTCAAGACGGCCTTTTTGAAGTCGGCGTAGGTGGTTGTGACGGACGTGAACTCGGTGAGTGATTCCCAGGTGTCCTGGTCGTCGACGCTGACATATCTCGTCGCATGCCTCTTCTTTTCCGTCTCATCAGTGACCCCGACTCGAGCAAATTCCAGCTCGAGATCACTGAAGTATCGAGGTAGCTGGCGCGGTTTTGACGAATCAAACTCCGGGGCTCCACGAGCGCCTCGGGCGGGCATCTGGGAGGTCGCCATAATGGTTGGGGATGGGGTAGGGGATCGAGTATTGGTCGGGGACTGGAAGAGAAGATCGAGTCGAGGGGAACCGGGCAAACGAGGGGATAGGTTGTTGTGACGCGCAAGGTGGTCTGGGACGCGAACGAAGAGCTCGTCAGATGTGTCGAGTAGATTGCGTGGGTTTTGCTGGATAGCACGGAATTCTGCGCGTAGATCTTGTAACAAAGTACGGCAAGGACAAAGGCTACGGCCTGAATCAATGGTGATTTAGACCCCTCGCGGTGGGCTCCAAAATATGATGTGCACGGGCGACGTCTAAGCGAGGACCCAAAGATGGGAGAACGGGGACGAGAGGGTGAATGGGCGGGCCCCGCTCCAAGTGCGTCGTGCAGTGATGTATTGATGCGAGGTGTCCAAACCAAGGTTCAGGTGGAACCGGGACTGAAGAAATGAGCGGGAGAACTACTGCGGCGTCTGGCTGGACCGCGGTTTTGCTAGATAGATGAGGTAAACGATGGGAGGTCAGAGTCAGGAACTCTTCGAAATGAGCTATAAAGGGGGTATTGTGTTCTATTCTTTCATAGCTACAAGTCTGTATTTTATACTACAATGTGAACGGTGTCTGGAACATTCTGTAAGTATTGTGAAGTGACGGAGAAACCACCAGAAAACCGCGGCCGCTGAGCTTAATCCTGATGTCGGTGGATGCGCCGCGGCCGCTGATGATGGGTGGCAGTGTCCGTGTACAGCCGCTGATCAGGCTCAACAACATGATTTCCTTGTATTTGATTCCTACAGGATTGAAAAATGCCATACTCTCATGAAAAGTTGGTTCGATGGTTTGAACCAGTTCAAACCTCTGAACCAAACCATCCGAACCTGAACCACAGTTCAGGTTCAGGGTTCGGAAAATTGGCTACGCCAAACCGTGGTTCAGGTTCGGGTTCAGCAAAAAAATTGTCTGAACCCAAACCAAACCAAACCGTGAGACCACTAGTAGGATGGGCAGAGGAGATGGACTCCCAGACGACAATGGGAATTGGAACGAAATGATGAATTCGTGTGCTGTACAAGCACTCAAGGAAAGGTTCTTTTGCTAGCAAAAAGATCCCGGGCCTAGCTCTTCACGTGCCCAATGATCCCGAGGTGCGTTTTCCTGAAGGTCTCCGCAGCACTCCTTGTAGCTACCGTAAGGCTTGGGTCAGGCTCAATGTTACCCGTGGCCTGGTGCTGTTTGCTCGATATGAACCCTTCACTGCGATCGCAGGGAACGACCAGATGATTCGGTAAAAGGGTGAGTTGGTTGATAAGGGTTAAGAGGATATAGCGGGCGTAGCGGTGAGGGATGCAGTGGTAAGAGGTATGAGGTAGGAGGGTATGAGGGGAGTCTTCGAATTATGTGACAATCAACAAGAAATAATGTCGAAAAGAGAAGTCAATTCAAAGACTGGAGAATACAACCAATTAGCTACAGTATTTATACCCAAATCCAGTCTGAGTCATATCTACAACTAATGAGTCATAAGGCTATGTACCGCATGGAGCACTGGTCATGGGTTGTAGTAGAACCTTCCAAAGCATATGTTGTGCAGCCTCAAATCAATAAAGATAATCCCTGGAACCCCTAGTCCGGACCGTCTGATGCCGTGATCCGTGATAAGATAATCCGTGCCGAGATAAGATAAGATGGTCGATGACAAGATGAAAAAGTGGTTGAACTATGACAAAAGTCCTGTACAACTGCATAGTAGCCCACAAATTAAACAGAAACAAAAACATTAATAACTGTTTAAAATATTTATAAACAGAAATGGTTGGAGCCTTAAAGGTGAGTCATCTGCCATCATTGCAAATTTTGATTTCTCTACACAATTTAGCCCGACCTTCCATCCCAACAATCACTCTCCATCTATCTCCCGCATACCTCATATCCATCTGCCTGATTGTGCACACCTCCCTCCATGCCCATTTACCTACTTGACTCCCCAAACGCAAACTGTTGACAGGGAGAAAGATTCTCCGTCACATCTTTTGAATTGCATTGTCTCTTGTGTCCAATCGCCCCGGTTTTGTCCCAGACTTTACATACCAGCTTGAGAGAGTGGCTTGCAATTGTCACAGCTGTCAGAGTTTGAATTCGGCTGATAGGACTTCGGTGTGGCTTGTGAGTGATTTGTTTATTGTACTAGTTACACATTATATTGTCAAGTGCTTTGCAACACCGTTCAATGTAAGAGAACACTTGGTGCTGACCATGGCATGTTGCAGACAATACCTCGCAGTGGAGATACAACCAGTAGCAATCACCTAAAGACACAGAGTCTCAGCAAGTGTAAGACACAGGAGCTATACATTAGCTGTACCTAAAGACACAGAGTCTGTGGTACAAGTCATAAGTAAGGGTCATTAGATCGTAAGGGAGAATGCATACCTCAGCAAGTGTAAGGCATAGGAGCTGAGGATATGGAGTGTATAGTACTAGGTTTATATACCAGTCTGGAGCAGATATCATGATGTCATAGTGGAGTAATGATATTCTAGATGAGTAATGGATGACACAATAATGAGGTCAGGTATGAGGTCATTGTGGAGCAAGCCAAAGTGATCTAAGAATACTACTTATGATGTCATGTCTACATACTGTGATAGTTGCTCATACAAACCAGCTTCAACATGGCGCTCATCCAATCAACGTTGAAGTGCAAGCAACACCGAGCATGGAAATTAAGTATTTCTAAACAAGATAATTGTCTAATGAGATGTACCTCTTTGGCATCCTACTTCTTTGAGCTGCATCTAGTTTGGCATGCCATTGCTGGCGCCGCCATTGCTGCCTTGAGTTGCTTCACTTTTGGGTTCACTGGTCTCTGGTGCAGCTCCGGTCCAGGTTGAACATCTTCTCCTCACTCCCTTGCACGCTTGGGTATGACTGAAACTACTGTGCTTATTGGTGCCATGCCTCCAATCCGGTGATAGGCCCAGAACCAAGTGTCCTGATCAAGCACATAATGTTCTTGCTTGAAACCAAATCTGTTCTTGAGCAGGAGGCTTGCACTGCTCAAGGATATGGTATAAAATTGTTCAAAGTAAGATTCCAATCTAAAAAGTGAGTAAAAGCCTATCAGTAGATATTGCTGTACTGATTGGCTTTTCTGTGGCTAGGCTGTCAAGTACAAAACACAGGAAGTTGAGTTGAGGACAGGTGAGTTCTTTGCCCTGATCTACATATTACATTGGAGTTCATATGAATTGGTGAGAGGATGGTCCCTACAGACAGGTATTTTCAGTGCAACTCAGGCATTGACAACTCAAAAGCTGTGAGGCTTGCATTATCTGAGCTCCCAAAGAGTTGAATTCTACTCAGATTATACTCAACAAGTCCCCCACTGATGAGGACAGTCCCCAAAGGGTATGATCCATGGTACCATATCTTTAGAGCCACCCGGGTGTGACGACCAACCCAAAAAACAAAGTCAATAAGAAGGGTGAATTCCAAGACTGGGGAATACAACACAATAGCTACTGTATCTATACCAAGTCCCATCTGAGTCATATCTACATTGAATGAGTCATGAGACTATGTACTGTGTGGAACACTGGTCATGGGTTGTAGTAGAACCTTCTGGAGCACATGTTGCACAGCCTCTGTACAGATAACCCCTCTGAACCCCTAACAAAAGATCACTTTCTCCTACCATCACTATCCCTGATTCACCAACCCCTCAAAAAAACGTCCTATGCCCTTTTCTCTACAGAATCAGCCCATACACGAGAGGAGAATCATACACACTCATACCTGACAAACAATTGAGTGATTTTTTTTTTTGCGCGGCGAAACGTTGGATAAACGTGAAATTTTTGTCAACTCTTTCCCCACTCGCACCTGAGCCTCCTTCCTCTCTGCTGTGTCGAGCTGAGACTGACGTATCACACTACACATGTCTGGTGTCCAGCGCCTCGTGGTTGCCCCCAAAGCCCAAAATCCTGCAACACCCTGCACCTTGTGCCCGCACATGAAGCCCCGAAACCTGCAGTGGGCGAGGACCACTACCGTGACCATGGCATCAGCTGGCCCTGGGCCAACACGACCACTTCCACCACCGCGGTGATAGGCTGGCTACCAGACGCGCTCTGCACCAGCTCTGTAAGGGCGTATTTTTGCGCTTTTTACAGAGTTTACTCTTGAACCACTCGGTGTATCGTGTCGCGGTTAACAGTGTTGCGCTCAGTAGGACTTATGGGTCTACTGCCCAGTCGACGACTGTGGATAGTGTCGACGATAGCAAGGCAGTCAGACCACTACTGTGGAACTGGTCTTATGAGTCTACACCAGGCTCAGGGCCATTAGTGACGAACGCTTGGACCGCGACCATTCCCCAAAAAGGGATCTGTCGTTGCGTCGACTTCTCAATAAGGGTCATTCTCTGCAGATGGGAACTTGGGCTGAAGGGCTGAGCAATGCGCGACGTTCTCAATAATAGAACTACTACTGGACAGGACTTGGCGTTACAAGACTTAAACCATCTTGTCGCGGCAACTCCCGGTTTTGAGTTGGACGTTTCCTCAGATCATGCCACGACGACGACTTGTCACATGTCAGGATCCATTCGATCACGGGACATTGTGGACGCGTTGCGGTGACACTTCCAAGTGTCACGGCGAGTCGCGCCCATACTCAAACACACTAAAATCGATACGGCTAGATCCGTGAACCGAGCCATGTGGGAGACGATTGGCGTGCCTAGAGCCATACGGCTTCTTGGGGCGCCCACGTTGGTCTCACATGCCAAGACATACCCGTTGGCCAATCCAGCACGTCGTATTCCAAAAGTATGACGCGGTGAGTTGGCCCACATCAAAAGTATCATATGGACAATGGGGCGGGGTCCTGATCACTCAGGACCTGTCCGATTGTTCAACTTTTCAATTACCCTAAAAGGCAACCGATCTTAGATAGCGTAGCTACTATGCAGTTGTACAGGACTTTACTAAGCAGCGTCGTAGACAGTATAAGTAGCACGTCGTCTCTTTGTATTAGAAAGCTTTCCCCCGGACTGTGAATCACTCTCATATCAGATTGTTTTGTACAATTTGCGTGCCGCGTGATTCCACCCCTAAGAAGTTCTGCCATCCCTGCCCGGTCGCGACGAGTTGCTCCCTGAGCACTTGTAGCTACTGTGATTTGAGTTTGAGTTTTGAGACATCAGAAAGTCGGATTCGCCGCATGGATGCATTGAGTGAGAGAAGGAGATCAATGCATCATCTTGTGAGGGAGAGAGCCGAAGAGCAGGGGGTGGCTGTGAGCTCACTCTCTCCTTCCACCCACCTGCCGGCGATCTCATCCTCGACAAATTCCCATTTCTGCGCTCTTATTACACACTCTTTAATGCTTCTATATGACTGACTATCACCCAGAACTCGACACTATCTGCAGAAATCTCTGTACACTACAGAATCCATCTCAAGCTCGAAATTTGGATGCTATTTGAGAGTGTCTCTGGGCCTACACCCCAATTCCATTCACAGAGCTGAGTAGTTCCCTCTCTTCTCACAGTTGGAGCTCGACATATCCACTGCTTGTTGACTCGATCCTGGCATTAGAACGACGCCATCTACATCCCCCAGCCTTCAGAACCCTCCCCTTTCCGCCCACTTTGAGCTGCCGACCCCCCCTGATCTTCCAGACAGTAATCCCAGTCCATTCCTTCGAATTCTGGCCGCCCATTCGCTACGAAATGCCCTGCCCCATACCCTGGAAGCTGCGAATGCCTCTTCGCTTTAGATGCACGCTTATTCGGGTTTCCCTCCCTCTCTCATTGGGCGCTCAAATCCTGCGATTTAATCGCACTTGGTGCGATATTATCGCATATTTTCGTTCTTTTGGGTTCCTGGCGTTGTCTAACAACGCTGCAGGGACGTTCTATGGTCTCAGCTCATTCTGGACCGTTGGTCTTGACCCAGCCGCTGGCCTGGGCCGCATAGCGTCAATAATTACTTCGAATTTAGTGAGTTGTAACTGTTGTGCATATTTTGCATGATCTCTGCTGCGCATCTCCAGTGTTTTTGCTTCTGTGCATATCATGCATGTTCCTGCCCTGCACTCTGTGCATTTTTAGACGGCGCATAGCCTGCACTGCGCATATCCTGCGTTTTTACGGCGTGCATATCGTGCATATTTCGACTGCATATCGTGCATTTTCGACGGTGCATAGCCTGCACATTTTCCAGCATGCATATCGTGCATTTTCGAGCATGCATAGCCTGCACTTGCGCATAGCCTGCGCTGCGCATATCCTGCGTTTTTACGGTGTGCATATCGTGCATATTTCGACTGCATATCGTGCATTTTCGACGGTGCATAGCCTGCACATTTTCCAGCATGCATATCGTGCATTTTTCGAGCGTGCATAGCCTGCACTTGCGCATAGCCTGCGCTGCGCATATCCTGCGTTTATACGGCGGGCATATCATGCATGTTTCGACTGCATATCATGCATTTTCGACGGTGCATAGCCTGCACATTTTCCAGCATGCATATCGTGCATTTTCGAGCATGCATAGCCTGCACTTGCGCATAGCCTGCGCTGCGCATATCCTGCGTTTTTACGGTGTGCATATCGTGCATATTTCGACTGCATATCGTGCATTTTCGACGGTGCATAGCCTGCACATTTTCCAGCATGCATATCGTGCATTTTTCGAGCGTGCATAGCCTGCACTTGCGCATAGCCTGCGCTGCGCATATCCTGCGTTTATACGGCGGGCATATCATGCATGTTTCGACTGCATATCATGCATTTTCGACGGTGCATAGCCTGCACATTTTCCAGCATGCATATCGTGCATTTTTCGAGCGTGCATAGCCTGCACTTGCGCATAGCCTGTGCTGCGCATATCCTGCGTTTATACGGCGGGCATATCGTGCATGTTTCGACTGCATATCATGCATTTTCGACGGTGCATAGCCTGCACATTTTCCAGCATGCATATCGTGCATTGTTCGACTGTGCATAGCCTGCACTGCGCCTATCGTGCGCTGCGCATATTCTGCACCCTCCCTGTCGTGCATATCGTGCATTTCGCGACCGTGCATAGGCTGCACCTGCACATATCCTGCACTTGCGCATATTCTGCGCCTTTCCTGTGGTGCATATCATGCATCTTTTGACTGTGCATAGCCTGCACTTGCGCATATTGTGCGCTGCGCATATTCTGCGTATATTTTTGGGTGTGCATATCGTGCATTTTCCACTGTGCATAGCCTGCACTGCGCATATCATGCGCTGTGCATATTCTGCGTATTTTCTGGCGTGCATATCCTGCATTTTTAGTGTGCATAGGCTGCACCTGCGCATATCCTGCACCT